GGGCCCATCTCCCGTGCCACCCGAGTGGCCAGCCAGGCCAGGCGCGCGCTCACCTGACCTCGAGGGCGGGGGTGTGCAGCAGCTCCCCGTCACAGTTCCAGGCGCCGCGGGCCGCCGCGCAGCAGCAGCTGGGGCTGTCGCTGCAGAGAGGCCCGAAGCGCTGCTTCCCCGGCCCCCCAAGGCCGTGGGCTCCGTCCTCCAGGGCCTTCGACGTGAACTGGAACCTCTTGACGCGATACACCTCCACAAAAGTGAAGTCAAACTGCGGGGAGAGGACAAGGCGGGGAAGCTGAGCATCGCAGCCGGTCCCCGGGAGCGCACCGCGGCCACGGGCAGGACATCGCGGAAGCTGGGCTCCGCAGGCTGGTCCCCGGGAGCGCACCGCGGCCACGGGCAGGACATCGGGCAGGACATCGGGCAGGACATCGCGGAAGCTGGGCTCCGCAGGCTGGTCCCCGGGAGCACACCGCGGCCACGGGCCGTGACTTGCGCTACTCCACCGGCTGACCTGACCACGCCACACCGGAGACCAGGTGAGACGCGTGTGTGCAGGGGCTTCCGGGCGCCACTAACACCACGCATGGAGTCACAGCTCCGCCCCGGCGCTGACACCTGTTACTAGCAGTGACTGGTGGAATGTTCTAGTCCCTGTGTGACGGGCTGGCTGGGGGGGGGGTGTGCGGGGCTCCCCACTTGCCTGGTCACACTGGTTGGTGTGCCTGACGAGGAACCTCAGGAAGTTGAATCTGGAGCACTTCCGGATGAGGATGAGGTCGGAAGACCCATCTCCCAGGTGGGCGGCTGGGGAGAGGCCCCGAGGGCTCCGGGGACAAGCACAGGACATGTTTGTGGCATTGATGGCCAGAAACTTCCCGCAGACGACCTGCCACTCCTCTACCTCCTCTGAAGCACAAAGAACCCGGCAGGTGTTACTACTACGAGGCACACGGCAGCCACTCTGAGGAGACGGGGCAGGATCCTGTGCTCGCTCCAGCTCAGCATGGAGACCTCACGAGCTCACGGGCACCGGCCTGACATACCCACCCTGCAGCTGCCTGCTGGCCTCAGGACCTGAAGGCCACTTCCTGTGTGGCCAGGCAGACCAGCATCCACTGGGCCTGTGATTTAGAAGCAGGACCAGTAGTGCACGCCAAGGGCTGAACATCTGTATGGATGGCCGGTGACATGAGACTGGGTCTCACATTTAAAATAATTGAAAAAAAATCAAAAGAATAATATTTTATAGTTGGGCTCCAGTGGCTCACACCTGCAATCCTAGCTACTTAGGAGGCTGAGACCTGGAGGAAAACAGTTTGAAGCCAGACCAGGCCAAAAAAAAAAAAGCCTTTAAAATTAACCAACTGTAAAATCAGTCCATCTCCAATTAACCAACAAAATGCTGGACTGGAGGTGTGGTTCGAGTGGTAAGCCAAGGGAGGAGAACTTGAGGCCCTGGGTTCGAGCCCCAGATATAACAGAAAACAAAAAGCTTAATGCTATTTCATAACATGTGGAAAATGCATGACACTCCAGTCTCGGTGTCCACAAATCACCTGCCACGGGGGGAGGCCACGCCCGCTAGCCACGAACGGTGGGTGACTGTGGCAGGAAAGCAAGAGTTTCACCCGATCACCTGCTGACTGCCATACTGCAGAGCAGGCCACAAGGAGCCTGGCTAGCCTCCCCGGGCATGGGCTTCCCTGGGATTATCTTCCCAAAATCTGCTGAGTAGCAACGATTTATTGCTGCCTGGAGCTAGAGATAAAGGGACTGTGTGGTCCAACAGAGCAGAGAGGAAAGGGCAGATGGGCAGCGGAAAAGTCAATGCAGAGAGGGCCGACAGGGGGATTAGAAAGACGGGGGGGGGCGGGGGTTACCAGCATTTTCTAAGCCATACAAGGCTTTCTTCTGCTCTTCCTCGAGCTGCTGCTTGCTCTGCCTGCACACAAAACATCTGAAAAGCAAGAACACGCCTGTCTTCATTGAGCACGGAGCCCCTGGGCTGGGCTCTTCACAGACTCCAAGACTCAACTGAGAACAACTCTTAGCATACTCATTTTGAGAACTCAAGATTACATCTGCTTTTGAATTTGCACCTGCGAATCCTTTCCTAAGATCTGTGAGTGCCACGCGTGGTCTGAGGAAGGCCTTGACCAGCTTGGCCGAGGGCTGCTCCACCCACGGAGGCTCAGGTGAAGCTCCTGGGGCTTGGGCTCCGGGTGGCCCCCGCAGCCCTGCCTGTCCAGCCCTGCACTCCTGCTGGCCGCCCCCTTTCCGAAGGACGCCAGAGCGGGCCAGGGCTCTGCCACCCCCGAGGAGCTCCTCTGGGGGAAGGACGGGGCTTCGGCTTCGGCTCGCATGGATTGCTGACAACAGCGGCTTTCATCAGACCTCAAGAGGGGCAGAAGGAACCCCCAAAAGGAGACCACACAGACGTTAGCCTCACCCCAGCACAAGCCGGGAGACCCCGCAGCACAGCCTCCTCCGCGCCTCCCTCAGCCGGGGGCTCGGGTCCGCACGGGCTGGGGGTGGCAGTGCCTGAGAAGCCCGAGACACCCCACAGGCCGCCCCTCCGCCCAGCACCGCCCATCCCTGCGGCAAACCCAGAAAGAAAGGCCCTCACCCCGCGTGGCAGGCCTTCCTGTCCCGGGGAGAGCCCACGGTGTGCTGGGCCGGGAGGAAAGACACGGTCCCTTCGTAGTAGTGATGGGAGAGGAACGTCTTCACGCCTGGAACAGAGCAGCAGAGGGGACGCCGCAGGTCACCGCCGCCGCCACCTCATGGGGCTGCGGAGTCCCCCGGGCGGAGAGGCCTGCCTGCTCCCAGCGGCCTGCCTCCCCCATCCACAGGCGAGCCCCGCCTGTGGTGCGGCCCGTAGACCTTCAGGACACAGCTGGTGAGACCCCGCACGCAGCCCCCCGCCCTCAGCACGCCTGAGCCGCGGCTCCTCCGCTCCCCCAGGCGCAGGAGGAACGGCACAGGCATTTCTGCGGAGCCCCGGTGTGGGATCTAGCGCTGCCCAGGGACGCTGATGTGAGGCAGGTCTGCCGGTCCTGTCCAGGCCGTGTCCCTGGCCTGGGAGGAAGCCTGGCCCAGGATGGGCACCTGGCAGGCACGCGCTGAGAGAACAATGGCTCTTTCTGGAAGCTGAGGCAGGGCCCTTACGGGAGACGGTGGGGACACGCACACGCCGCGCTCGAGCTCAGCATCTCGAGCCAGGTTCCTCCACAGTGAACACTGTCACACAGACTGCTGTGCTCCCAGTGACCACAAAACCAACTTCATTCTGTTAAAACTTCCACTTCAGACAGGTGCCGGTGGCTCACGCCTGTAGCCCTAGCTACTTAGAAGGCCGAGATCTGAGCATCATAGTCTGAAGCCAGCCTAGTAGGATTCTGAGAGACTCATCTCCAATGAAGTACCCCAAAAGAGCCAGAAGTGGAGCTGTAGCTCAAGTGGTAGAGCACTAGCCTTGAGCAAAAGCAGCTCAGGGACAGCGCCCAGGCCCTGCACTCAAGCCCCAGGACCAACACCAAAACACAAACAAAACCGCTTCACCTCTACAGTCCAAAGGGGATGAGAACATTGATTTCCTGATGCTCACCTTCCTTTAGCCTGTGACTGGAACACACACGGTATCTCTCAGGGGCCACCCACTGGTCTGAGTGAGCCTCGAGACCAGGATGTGTGTCATGCCAATGCAAGTTCGAGACCAGGCCCCTCCAGGCCCTCGCTCGCTGTGGACGAGGCAGGCCTTTCGCGTCCTGTCTGCCCGCAGGGCGTCCACCTTTGCACGTCTGTGGACTTGCCCTATGTGTGCAGCGCACAGCCCGGCTCACCAACGCCTGCGCGTGCCCCGGCGTGCAGCGGCTCAGGGCGGCGCCACGCTAGCGCCCGTCCCCGTTACCTGAGAAGTCATATCTGACGAGCCCCATCCACCGCTTCTTCTCGCTGTCCTTGATCAGGTCCCCGTAGAACCCGTAGCCCAGCAGGGACACGGAGTACCGCAGCAGCGTGCTGCCGTGGTGCACAGAGGACACGTCCATGGCCAGCGAGTCTCCTGAGACGGAGGGACGCCATGAGGGAGCCCCTTCGCCCGCCCCCTGCCCCCAGACAGCACCCGCGAGGGAGCCCGGGACAGGGGACAGCGGGGAGCTTCAGCACCACAATGCAGACAGCAAAACGTGGCTCCGATTTCCAAAACTATTCCAGAGCTATTCTGTGGGGAGGGACAAAAGCGCACCCCGGTAGGCTGAGGCTGAAGGAACGGTCAGCAGACATGGTGACGCATGCCTGTAATCCCGGCCCCCGGGAGAATGAGGCAGGAGAGTCGTGAGGTGGAGGCCAGCCTGGCCACGCAGGATGGGCTTGCCTCAAAAACCAAGGCAAAATATAAACTCAGTGGACAGACATCTTTAGACATAACCTTTCAGGAGGGAAAAACCTGGAGAGAAGCGAGGGCAGAGGTGACATGTGCTCTTCGCCTGACTCGCGTGACTATCACCCTCTGCATCTCCTTTATAGACACAATTTAAAAAAACACTGCTGTTAAGATGTGGCCTGCTCCAAACAGGGCCAAAGAAAGGGACGGGGTCCTGGCATCGTCCTGGGGGCTCTGGGGAGCTCCCCCAGGAACACAGGTCCCTTCCTGCCTCTGGCTGAGCCCAGATTCCCAGGAAGGAATGGGACGTCACCCAGGCTGGGAAGCGGGCTGGGAAGCCGTGGGAGCCAGTCTCAGTGCAGATGGGGTAGAGTGGCAGCTCGGGACAGTGTGGGCTGAGGTCAAGGGCAAGGGAGGACATGAACCACGAGGAACCACGTGCGGGAAGCTGCACTCGGCTGCCCCCCGCAGCCTGGCCGGGGAATGGGCTGGGGAAGGCGGCAATGGGCCGGGCGGGGCCTCGTGCCAAGCGGAGGGCCAGGCAAGGGAGGATGGGAGAAAGCAGGGTGGCCGCAGGACCCACAGGGGCCGGGGTCTACGTGTGGGGCGTCTCCCACGTGAGACCTGACTCACCTACAATAATGTGCAGGGCTGAAGTCTCGGCGTCGATGGTGCCCACGGTGGAGTAGCACACGCAGTCTGTGGAGCCTGTGGAGGGAGGGCAGACCTCGTCACCCGGGCCCCTGCCTCCTCCCCCCCGCGGCCTGCCGTGAGGAGGAATGCGGTTCTCCTGCGAGGTGGACGTGGCAGGCGCAGGGCTCCTCACAGAGGCATGGTCAGCGCCGACTCCTCACGCCACGGGCCACGTGCTGCCTCCATAGCTGGCACCAGCAGCTCACGAGCAAGGCGAGACTGCCCAGAGCACAGCCAAGGGGAGGAGCCAGGCCAGCACAAGGGGAGGAGCCAGGCCAGCACAAGGGGAGGAGCCAGGCCAGCACAAGGGGAGGAGCCAAGCCATCACAAGGGGAGGGGCCAAGCCAGCACAAGGGGAGGAGCCAGGTCAGCACAAGGGGAGGAGCCAGGTCAGCACAAGGGGAGGAGCCAGGTCAGCACAAGGGGAGGAGCCAGGCCAG